GGTTACTTGTCCTTTAAAAGCAGTCATCACACCGTCAGGACCACCAAGACCATTCCATGATTCGCCATCAAACTCTGCACTTGGAGAAAAGAGATTATACAACAAGTTGGGAGAGTACAGCACATTCTTCAACTCCACGGAAAATTCACTGTCAGCAGTCACAAACACCAACTCCAGCGTTCCAGAGAAAGATATTTCACACGACACGCCACCAATTCCATTCACACTCTTGTGGCATGGCTTCAAGTCCTTCATGCAGGCGAGAGAGTCCGTCATGTGGAAAGCAGTACCAGTATCAGCATACCAATAAGATATTTCACACGACACGCCACCAATTCCATTCACACTCTTGTGGCATGGCTTCAAGTCCTTCATGCAGGCGAGAGAGTCCGTCATGTGGAAAGCAGTACCAGTATCAGCATACCAATCCTCGACATATCTAGACTTGTTGACAGCGTTCAGGATCATATCATTGCTGACAGCACTCATAACCAGATCATCTCGCGACGTCAGCAGACACTTCAGGCCAGAAACATCATACATCATGCTTGTCAACCATTCACACGCTGACACTATCAACACCTTGTGTGAGCGAGCAAAATACGCATGCATAACAGCAGCATCAAGCTTACGATCAGCATCCTCTGACAGTGCAGCGATCGAGTTTTGAGTGCGAGTAATACGATCATATAGGAACCAATATAGGAACCAACGGACACGTTCCGGAACCGTTCCGGAGCACCAGCAACGTTCTACAGTATCTCAGTACCAGTCCTCGGACCATTGCGACTTCCTACACTCCACAAACTCTCGGGATGATTACCTGAACTAAGATACCATGCTCAGACTAGCGCAGCGTCCACAAGATTATTCCAACCACAAGGACCACGAACGTTCCTTATGTCGGTAGCTCAACAATCTACAGAGGATCGACATTGTTCCGCGTATTCAAATCGTCCAATCAGATATTCTACNCCCAAGTCACTAGTCCGTACCACATACCCTAAAATACCAAGCCCTGCTCTCCAATGAATTTCTTTCGGAGAGGCGCAGTACCGTGCTACCGCTCTTACTGCATTCGCGATATCTGGCCTCGTTTGCGTTGCCAGCCACATCAATGATCCTATCAGCTCACGAAAAGGCCATGATACCACTTCCTCATCCTGGTCAAACTCTGAAAGCTTCAACCCTACAGGAAGAGGAATTTCCTTCCCGTACTCTACCCCAAACTCCATCCCCAACTCTTCAGCGTACGTCTGCTGCGAGATCTTCAAAGTCCCTGCATCCCAATCTCTCTCATAAAAACATCCAGAGTACCATCTCAAGTCCCCAAGATTCTTCACAGGTACCATGGTGTTGAGGTCCCTGCCAAACTGGTCACACCTCTCCTCCTCTCCTATCGAAAATATATCATCTACATGTACCACCAGAGTCACTACCACTCTTCCCTCCTCAATCAACCGAAACACACACGTATCCACCATGCACTGAATAAGACCCAAACAAATCAAACACCTCGCCAAGTGTGAATGCCACTGCCTTGATGCCTGCTTAAGGCCATACAGACTCTTGTTCAACTTCACGATCATACCTGACAATCTACCACACCCCTCTGGCAGACGCATGAATACATCCGCATCCAAATCCGACTGGACAAATGCTTGCTTGATGTCAAAATAACTGAGAAAAAGATTTTGCTCACACGCCATCGCTGCCAACAAGCGAACGCTAGAAACCGCTACAGTCGGTGCATACGT